GCGAGAATTTAATGTTTTGTACATATATATATATATATAATACTGTTGATTGACGCGTAGTGACTAACACTGGAATTCAGAACAAGTGTTTCATCCTACTTTAGACAAGTTAGCTGGTTATATCCATACCTCAGAGAGTAGCTGTCCTCACATTCGGATTCGAACTCAGCACTCATCGTTTTATGCACCAGAATGTGTGTTATCCAATAGGCTAGTAGACTGCTAGAGCTACATCTTGTGAAACGCGTACAACTTGTTGTTGTTTGCTCGCTTTATCCTTGAATTTAACTGTCGATTAAATTGTATTGGATGGAGGATTTAATCACGAGGTGACATCAGTTAGAGAACCACTGGAAAATCAGTTGGGAGTACTGGACAGCTGTTTCCCTCGTCCTTGTTTGGGACTCTTCATCAGTATGTACCCACCGATGTCACTGATATCAATCAGCTCATGATGAAATCCTCCATCCAATCAAACAAAATCCCTACAAAATCAATACTTGAAAATTGTATTGGACAGAAATATTTCAACAGTGCCTTGAAATAACTGATGAAATGTACAACATGCGAAAACTTGGTGAAATATATATAATAGGTCACTACTGTTTGTATCTTTTTTACACGAAATGCATCTGAAGAATAAAATTGCATGTTTATGTATGGCTTTAATCGGTTTGTGTGGATTGCTGTAGACAGAGGGGACAACCTAAATGCATTCAAAGGCATTGTTACGATTTGTCGAGGCAATTCCCATCAAATGACTATGTACGCAGAAAGAGATAGTAGTAAATATCACAATGCCTTGGTGATAATAAAGTATAAAATTTTTACCACTTCACCTTCCGTCCTGTTTAGAAAACTTTATCTTTCGTCTAAACATGACTCACCATATCGCACTCGTTTTTTTGGCTATTTTAGAAAAACATATCTTCTGTGGTTACGTAACCTATTATCTGTTATGCTCCTGCTAGTTAAACTTTGTTTCTACCCACAAAAGTCTCGCGAACTCTGTCCTTTGCCTTCCAAGCATAATCATCTAAATTTCATATAAATAGTCAGTCCTTTTCACTCTTATTTGGTTAACAACTGACATCAATCCTGACCAGTGTTACTCTTAGTTCCTACCAGTTATTCCTCGTCATTGTGGAAAAAATATGTTCGAAATCTTTAATGTAATTTATGTAGTTTTGTACTGTTCAGGTTGTAGCCAGCCAGTTGAAAAGAATACTGGTTTTATTCCGGAACATTTGTCGTTCTTATTTAATTGGTGGATGGTGACTAGCAGTGGAATCCAGGATAACGTGCATTTCGTCCTATTTGGGACTCGTCATCCGGATGTACCTGCATTTCTCAGTGAGTGATGATGTTCCCACCACAGAGGCTCGAACCCAGTGGCCATAGTTTCAAACGCCAAAGCGTTATCCACTAGACCACTTGAGCCACGAGAGCCACCTCTTGTGCATCCCACTGACGAGTCCTAAATGGTACGAAATGTGCATCCTGGATTCCACTGCTAGTCACCATCCACCAAATAAATGATAATTAAATGCCTAGACATCGTCGAAGCATCTGCACAAGAAGTCGACATGTGAACCTGAGACCAAGCACTTCGGTTCAATCAACTGACGAGAAAATTCAGTTAAATTTTTCATTCTTGTCTTATGCAAATTAATTAATGAGAAAGGTTTCATGAAACTTTCAAAGTGCCAAGCAGAACATTGTGATGTCAGAAACTGTAAAGTCTAACTATATATATACATAACAAGAGACTTTACATTTAATGGGAACAATTAAATATCTGCACAGAAACAAAAAGTATATCGACCACGGTGTGCGAACGCGCCGGTGACCGCTGAACGTAAACCATTCGCCGGATTACCGAACCTGCCATGTATTCTACACCAAAAAGCCAGTAAAATTAAGACAAAATATGGCACAATCATAATGAAACACATTAAAGACGATATTCCATCCTGATGTAAATGGAAAAATACTTCTCAATTACAACGAAGGACGTCAGTTATCAAGTTTTATGGCTACCGAAACAGTTTCATCTTGAAGTTCAACAAAAACACACTCTCTTCCCATTGATTTACTTATTTACAAGATAATAGTGACAAATAATCGTAGAGCTAATCCTTACCTGGACTGTAGTGCTAACTCTAATCCTAATACTTACCCTAAAGCTAATACTAATCCAAACCTTAAAGTGCTATCAACTTGTTGTCCAAACAGCACTTAAAAACGAGGTCAATTCGTGCACAGGGTTCATACTAAAGCAGGTTCTTTAACCCAACGAATGACATGCATTCAATAGTCACTGGTGCGTTTCCACTCAATGCTCTCTGCTTTTGAGGTTGACCACAGAAGGCTGAGGAGCTTAAAAAAAGTATTTCTTCTGTGGGTAACTTTTACATCAATAACAATATGGTTAAATCTCAGTTATTAGGGGAAAAAACAATTTAACGATTTTCAACTTCTAATACTCTGGGAGAACATCTCCCAGTATGGCTAAACAAAGGTGTAGTGAAAACCGTCATCAACAGTTCGATATTGGACCATCTAGTGCAAACTGACTAGCCACAAAGCCAGCCAACGTAGAGGAATCCTTCTCTATCATCTAACAGGTGCCTAACAAATTGCCAAAAACATCGAAGCACCGCATGCTCCAAACAGCAGAGGCTATTCCAATTCACGTGAACCAACCAGTGCTTTGTGTGCGAAAGAAGCAAGTTCAGCCAGGCGCTACTACTGCCCTGGTTGGCCTTCAGTAGAGACTATAAATTCATGAATTTGTAATATTATCTTTCCTAATTTTTCTGACATTCCGTTTATTTTTTATGTTGATGCTTTTGAACTGCATTCCATTGACATTATTGATTCGCTGTTATTGAAACAGCATTAATGTTGCGTCGGTGGCACAGTGGTTAGGACTCTCGCCGACCATGCACATGGTCCGAGGTTCGATCCCCTGCCGGCGCACACCCGATATCTATGGTCGGCCTGAATTTGGGCTACCGATATCCATGCTGAAAAATTCCATACTTGTACTGAAAATACGGTGTGGAATCAAGTTGTAAATCAAAAAAATAAATAAATAACACTAATTCATTCATTCACTATAATGTGTATATACCTGTAGAGTCTGATGATGAATTTATCGAAAAAAGTATTCTTTGTTCAGTATCCATTCTTTTGAAACTGTATCCCCTGAGGAAATTTTCAAGCAAAGGTGTGAATATTTATTTCTAATCCGACTTTGAATTTCCCTTTGACCTATTTGACCTCAATGTGAAGCCTCTGTTGATATGTGCTCCTTGTACGGATGCTTCAACGATGGGTACTGGGTTCGAACTTCACTGGGAACTCCATCACTTACTGTGGAACGTAGAAACATTCAGATGACGAGTTCTTAACAGGACGAAATACGCCTTCTTCATTCCAGTGCTAGTCAGCTTCCGACAAATCACCTAAAGGTGTGAATACTTAACACAATGATAATACTAATAATGTGGAATACGATGGTATTCGTAATCTAATATCAAGTGTAAAATCAAATAATATAACTTAGAGAAAATTTCTTAGAATGTAAAGGTTTGTAGAAAAGAATGTAAAATTATTAAGATTAGTAGACAATTGGAACATTATGTAGCATAGGTAGAAGTTTGGTAAGATAGATTTTAACACTGCAATAAATTATATTGATTTGATATACTAAGTGAGACAATTGGAATAATACCGGAAATTGTTCAAAGTGAAAAAAAAAACACAGAAATAATAAATAACAAGAGAAAGATACAAAGACAAAATTAACGAGATGAAAATTAAATAAGTGAATGTCAATTAATTCCTCTACGACAGAGGTAGAAATAAGGACTGTACATAATTCCTCGTATATTAAAGGCCTAGCTTGAATTCATTAAAATAGGCAAGACTTCCTCCATCTTTAAAAGTTTAGAACGAAGAAAGGACGTCAAGTTAGTTAGTATAAAATGGACAAATAACTTTAGAATCATGATTGGGGTTGGTAAAGTGACAACGTCGACCAAGTTTTCTGCAATACAACCTGTCGCACACTGGAATATGTTCTGGTTTCAGTTGGGAAAGCATCCTCTGATTATGATCAGAAGGTAGTATTTACAATAGACTTCTATCGGCCTGCTTAAGACTTGGTCTGCCAAAAACTTCCAACTCTTTATTGCGTATATTTTCTCTCATTCGGTTTGTTTTAATTGAATAACATATGACGTCTAATGGTATCATCTACACTTGTGTGTATTTAAAATGTTTACAAGCTTCTGATTCGCAGGTTCTTACTAAACCTGAGGAAAGGCTTAAGTGTGTAGGGAAACGTGTTTCAATACATGAGATAACTGCCCTTCAGGGCTGTCTTTTTTGTTTTTATTCCTTCACGTTCCTAGGGGAACTTAGGGCTTCAAGCTAGAGGCTTGACGTTTCTGTAGCAGTGTTTATTTTTACACGATAGAATAGATAGCCCATACCCAACCTTTCCTCCTTACCAGCTTTAGTTCTGACTTAGGGAGGTAAAGGAGTGCATTGGTGGCCGAGGATCGAACCCTCGACCATGTGCATGGTTGGCAAGCGTCTTAACCGCTATGCCACCAACGCCTCAGGTCTGTCTTAGGGTCTTAAAACGTACTTCTGAACATCTTATTTACAAGTGGCTTTCAGCTAGATATTGTAGGTCTTCATCATAATGGAATGGTTTGTGCCTCAGCTACTCAGAGACCATTGTGTCACAGGATATACTACTGTCAATTAATACTTTACTTGCAGATATTGTACGAAGGAAAAATATCATGCAATAGACTCCTCTGAAAATTCTGTACATTTTATAAATACTGTCCAGAATAAAGATATTATTATTATTAAATTTTGATTAGTAAATGTATTCAGGTTATTCAAGTTATCTTAATCGCTAGTTTAAGTTTCATCCATATTTCACCTCGTTATTGTAATGTTTTGTACTCTTTTACTAGCATTTACAAAGGCATGAAAGTTGGCAAAGTCTAGAATTGGATACACCTCCTGTGTCTTCAGGAACTGGTGAAACCGATGCAGTAGCAGTAGCGTCAACAACGAAAGCAATAACACCAGGTGATCAAACAACAGGATCATTAAGTAGCAGTAATCAAGGTGGACAGGATAATGAACAAATGGATCTGGCAAGCAGACGTGGTAGAAGATCTGCCATAATTGATAATAAAGTAAGGCCAAGCATTGAAAGTTTGCATATTCTTTCATTAAATGTGTTCAATCAACGGTCTGCTTTTTACCTGTGAAGTTGAAACATGATTCATGAGAATCGAAGGAGCGCTGGACGCCTGTTTTTATTTAATTTGAGACACTTCATCAGTGCATGGTCAATCACAGAACTTTTAGGTTATGCTGCAAGCCCTTCAACTATTTAGCCATCAGGATGAACTATGGTGTCTCATATTATTATATTATTATTCCCTTGGGTTCCAAGTGGACCATACCGCTTCAGCAACACATCTCCACTTTCTTCTATTTTTTGCCGTCCTCTTCAGCTGCATCCACGATTGCCCATAATCTCTCATATCCCACTCACACCATCTCCTCCATGTCACCCCCTCACCGACGATCCACTCATCGCTCCCCAGTTGAGTTCCACTTGAATAATGGCTTGCATTGCGCGCCGTATCATTTGACGGCCACCTCAACATGTGCTCGGTCCATCTTCATTTTCTCTTATATTTATTTGTTGAGCGATCAACTGTTGGTTGGTTTGTTCCCAGAAAGAGTTTCTTGTCACTTATTCTTTCTGGCTGGTTGGCTGGCCATTTGATCTTCAGTGGGGAACCAGCGAAGTTGGTGGCTACTAATGTTTGTCTGTAACTTGTTGGATATGCTTCTCACGACAGGCAGTGCAAGTATCTGACACGTATAGAAGGATCGACTTCACACTTGTGTTGAATATGCGAATCTTGTTCCCTAAGCTGAGTGACAGCAGAAGATTTCCAGACTGGTTTCAGGTTGATGAAGGCCTATCTTACCTTCCCGATCTTCATCCATTCCGCCTTTAATTGAAAAAATGATCGCTTCATAAGTGGAGGAAGTAAACTGTGTCAAATCTCTCCCATTGATGATGACTGGTGCTGGCTGTTGTTGCTGTTCGTTGATTGGTTGTTTGATTATCTTAATCACCTCCGCCTTCTCCGTGTTCACCTGGAGTCCTATCTTCGCTGCCTGACTCCCTTACCAGTTTGTTGATTTTCCGTGCATGTCTTCGAGTTTGTATAACATTTAGTATAAACCATGCACAAACGAAATGCAAATATTCTAGAGTCTTCTTATCGGCCCAAAGTATTCCTAATTTTCTCAATCCCAACTCACAGTCTGACCCACGATCCAGCCCACCACAGTTAAGAATATCGTTAGTGATAACATGCAAGCTGACTTGTCTTACTCCTGATTGCACTTCAAAAATCTTGCTGCATTTTCCGTTGTAGGTCAACTGACACGTGACATTGACAAAGAGCTGTTGAATTAGTTTGACAAAGATGTGAGCATTGCACACCATAGTATTGAATTATTTTCCAAATTACTATTTGTTCTACGATACTGACGGCTTTTGTAAAGTCCTTGAATTTCATGTGGAGGTCTGACCGCCATTCTATGCTTGGTTCTGTGATGGCGACGACGCGTCGAGTTGCGATTCGATCAGCACATGATTCGCCTTTCCTGAATCCAGTTTGTTCTGGGCTGGCGGAGTTATGCATCTAGTGCATCTTTTATTCTCTCCAGGATGATGCGACTTAGTATTTTACTTGGTGTGTGTGAGAAGAGCATCATTCCACGCCATTTCTTGCAGAGGCCTAACTAGTTCGTAGCTTGACAAGGTAGGCTTTCTTCCAATCGGTAGGCACCTTTCCTTCCTTCCTAATCTTTTGCAATAATGGCGTGAACACATTTGCCGCAGTCCCTGGGTTAGTATTCAGTGCTTTGGAAAGAATTCTTTCGAAAATAAACGTTGGTCAGGAAAAAAAGAAGAGAATGAAAATGGTATAGGGTTTTAAAATGTTCATTTTTATGTAAGATTTGTTGACTTTATTGTAGGCCGAAGTAAACAAAGTGAATGGACACACTTCTTTGGTACACCACATTCTCATCACAGTCGTTTGCATAGAGGCTTCTGCTCAACAGATACAGATACTTTCTTGGGTGTGTGTTCAGGGATGAACTTTTCAGGGTAGATATTTTCAATAAAAGCGTTGTAGCCAACTTTAAGTTTTTAATGGCATCTTCTGAAGAAATAGCTCTAATCATATTAGCTGAAGATCTTTATCAAACTTGTTCTTTACCAGGAAGGAATAAAAGTGTGGAAACATGTATGTCAACCGGTTCAAGTACTTTTCTTATTCAAATTTCTTGTTATGCTACTATCTGTTCTTTTTGTCATTATGATATCTAAAAGGCAGTTCCACTTTGAGATTCTTCTTCAGACGTGATTGTGATAGCCCACTCAAAGTACATAAACCTTGAGTGCCGTTAAGATCAATTCTGAGCATGCATAATTCACCCTACCGCGCTTTAGCTAAATGGTTGGTAGTTATTCTGAAACCCACACATGAACAGCTAGTAAAATTTAGTAAAATCTAGTTTGAAAAATGTATTTGAATGCACAAAGAGAATTACAGATATTAACATCAAATATAAAATTATGATATCTTTGTACGTAGCATTCCTGTTTACAAATATACCTTTAGTTGAGACATTTAATTACATCTGTTGGCATATAAGTAACAAGTCGATAAATACTGATATCCCAGTAGAAATCGTTGAAGATTGGTTGCTAAAGTGTACCATGAAGAAAGGGGAATTTTAAATTTGATGGTGAACTCTATAGGATTGGTAGATCAAGTGACAATGAACTCTCTATTGGGCTCCATTTCAGCAGATTTCTTTCTGAGTAAAGTAATCACGATAAACATTGTTGTATGGAATAATTGGTGCTTTCATTTTGTCGTAGAAAATTACAGAACATAGTAGTTCAATTACTTCTTTCTATCAAAGTTCATAAGTCAGGATACCCTATTAGGCCTATAGTTGATTTTAGAAATTCACCTATTTTTCAATTGTCTAAATAATTATCCATGGTATTAAATCCCCTAAAAATCCACTCGAAATCTAGACTAACTAATTCTTATGAACTCAAACACAGATAAGATAATTTAAAATTAGATAATGAAGAAAAAATGGTTAGTTTTGACATTGTCAGTTTATACACACGGATACCAATAAATATGGCTATGGAGGCAGTCAGAAACGAACTCATTTCTGACCAAGAACTCGAACTTAGGACAAAATTACCACTTGAGGACATAATGCTGGGAGTACAGCTATGCCTGACTTCCACAGTATTTAAATTCCAAGTGAAAATATACAAACAAACTGAAGGAGTTGCCATGGGATCACCAATATCCCCAGTGGTAGCAGATATATTCATGGATAAATGGGAAAGCATAGCGATTTAAACGTTCACCCCCACCACAAAAGTATGGTGGAGATACGTAGATGACAAATTCACTGTACTTGGAACACAAGATATAGATAGGTTTTTCGAACACATCAGCTCGAAGGTTGAAGCAATTCAATTTACTTATGAATTGGAAAATCAGGAAGGGGAGCTCTCAATGTTAGATTGCAACGTAAAGAGGAAAGAAGATGAGAAGTTAAACACTAGTGTTAACAGGAAACCCACACACTCAAACAGATATTTAGACTTCCGATCGTCCCATCCTATGTCAGTAAAAATAGGATTAGTGAAATGTTTATATGACAGAGCACAAAAATTAAGTAGTACCAAAGAAAATCTAAAACAGGAACTGATACACATAAAAGAAGCTTTGAAACTTAATAATTACCCGGATAAATTAGTCAAGAAATATGTAAGGAAATGTAAAAATACAATAAATAATGATAGTAGCGATAGTGATAATAACAATAATAATGATAATGATAATAGTGATAATAATCATAAATATTAATGACGACACCAACAATAAGGAAGCTAAATCATCAGTAGTAATGCCATACAAGGAAGGAACCTCGGTAGCCTTACGCAGAATTCTTAACAAGGCAGGAATAAAAACGGCATTCAAACCCACAAACTCAATTAGAAACAAGCTTTGTCGAGTAAAGGATCCTGTAGAGCCTTTAAAACAAAACAATTTAGTTTATCTAATACCCTGCCTGAGATGATTGTCAGGTCAAATACATAGGTCAAACTAGTAGAAGAGGGGCAGTCAGACTAGCCGTACATAAAAACCTAGCAAAATCTAGATTGGTTGACCCAAATAAAATAAGAAATCTAGAGAATAGTTCAGCTATAGCACTACATGCAGTCACACACAACCATACAATAGGATGGGATAGGATGACAGTTTTAAAATCTGATGTCACAGGGTATAGGGAGAGATTGATAACAGAAGCTTTGTTTATCGAATCAACTACAAATACATGTAATAGGAATGATTCATCACCTGTTCCCGATATCTGGAGAATTCTACTACCCATACAACAAATAGGAGAGAACAAAGAAAACTACAAAACTCAAGTGTCAAAGTTGTGTGATCACAATTGATATGATTATGAACAATAAATTTTGTTCGAAACGTCATCCAGTAAATAATACTGTTTCACTGTGTGATATGTCAAATAAACAAACTAATATGGAATTACTTACTACCACAGTGCCCAAGTTTTACACATATATTAATATCAAAAATTCCTTTGAAAATAAAAAAACTTAAAAATTATTCAAGTTTCATTTTCAGCCGTTAATAAAACACATACTTTCATAGTTGACGCTAAAAAGGTGTTCAGCAAAACTGTGATTGTTTTCAACGGCTACCTATGCTATTCCTTTTTAAAAAGCCGTATCACAACAACCCTCAGTTAGTCTGTTAGTTAGTTAGTTAAGGTTCGGCTTTCTTTTCAATCAACGAAATTCACTTTTCAGTTATTGTGTATTTTTTAATCCCTTTCTCACTTTCACCTCAACTGACCTGTAACAAGCAAGTGAAAGGAAGGTATGCAAAAAGCAAATAAACAAATAAAAAATAAATGAAAATCTAAAGAAAGCTGAATAACTTTCGGTGAATTAGAGTCAAATGTAAATAAAATATTTTTTCAAGATGAAAAAAAATATTCTCAAGTGTCAGTTTGTAGGAATTTGAATTTTTTTCAAGCTTCACCTTGTATCGTGTCGATATCAGTTAGAAAAGCATCGAAAACCACCATTGAGTGAGTACTAGACTGACCTGTTTCGTTCTAGTTTGATAGTCAGCAGCAGCACGCACACACCTGGATTCTAATCCACTACCTTCCTGTTGAATTAGTTCCCAGTGGCTGAATATTCTACGAGTTCACCTTGTAACCGGAAGGTGGTGTGTTCCAACCCTTATGGATGCGAATGATGCCGATGAGATTAAAACTAGGACGAAATACCTGTCCACTATACCCTGCCTAACAGATTTTTATTATCTCGGTAACTGATATAAATCCGTTATCAACTCGTAAAAACACAACTAACCCATACATACCAAACTATAGAAAATTAATCTGATGCCCGCTAGTGACTCGCTACAGGATAGAGTTTCCTGGAGCTCTAGTGAGAAGTCGTGACCAGTGAATTCCATCCAGATGTCACGTGTGAGGATGGATGTCCCACCTACGACATTGGTTGATGGTCACGCTAAATCACGAATTGGTAGAAGTTAGAATTCATGAGCTGGCCATTGAATCGGGTCCCAGTGGCTGAATGGTATAGGAGCTCTCTTGCCTTGTAACCGGAAGGTCCTGGGTTCGAACCCTGGCGGTGGGTGCGTACTGCCAATGATTCACAAACTAGGATGAAACAGCTGTCCAGTAATACCTGGTGGTTTTCAATGGTTCTCTAACTGATATCAATCCGTGATCAACTCGTAAAAACAAAACTAATCGTTACAAACCAAACTATAGAAAGAAACATTGAATGAGTTTTAATCATCACATTTTTGAATATGAACAAATTATTAGTTCGAACAGAAAGTTGAACAACAATGAAATAATCTAGAGAGTACTAGTTTACAGTTTCAAGTTAAGTAAGGTTTGTTTGACATAGAAACATAGCGATATAGTTCTGATGACTGGATGACGTATCGAGCAGTATTTTAGTTACCAATAATCATAACAATATTCTCAAATGGCTCCATAATTTGCTGGCTTATTTTTCACTTCCCATCCCTCTCTTTGTTTATAGCAATTTCCGATGTATGCGGTATAGACGTTGTGTCATTTTAGCTACACATGTTTGGTGCTGATTCGATGAATAACCTCTCCCTCTCTCTCTCCTCCAACTAACTATATTACATTTTAATGCTATCACCTTATCTCACTATATTGTGTGATTACATTCAACTAAATGCATGGCTATGGCTAAGTCCCTCTCTAGATTTTTTAATTTAGCAAGGTCACTCATTTCTAGCTTCAGCTAAGTTGCTTTATTCCGATAATTTAATAACTCCTGATTTACTAGTTTGACCTATGTTTTTCACTTCAAAGTCATTAAATGATATTCCTGGTTAATTATATCATACTTTCTTTATTGGAACCATCGGGTCCTTGAGTCAACAAGTTTGTATGTGCGTCAATTGGCTTCTTTAACCCCCCGTCCCCCGACGCTAATCCTAGAAGATCAGGATTAATCGGATTATGTGAACATGGAAATTTATCCGCAGTTAGAATGATTAAGTTTAACAAGGTAGAAAAAACACCATTACAACGCATTCACTCGCATGTAATATCACACCATAGGGTGGGAGAATTAAAAAGTTATATAGTTGGGCAGAGAGAGAAAAAAGAGATTAACCACCGAATCTTTGTTTACTGATTCAACACCAAACACGTGCAATTGGAATGACATAACGCCCATACTGGATATCTACGGAAAATGACAACAAATAACAGGGTGGAATAAGAATATATTAAGTAAATAATGGAGCTTTACGAATACATTAGTATGAATAGTGCTCGAAACGTCATCCAGATACACATACATCAAATACATTTGTCTGATAGTGAATTATATTCTACTAGAGTGCCCAAATTATACACTTACATATGCTAATTTAAAACACTGAACATTTTAAAACAAGCTACCTTATACTGTTAAGCGAAAGGCCTTCTCTGATTGGACACTAGATAGTAATTAATGTGATGCATCTAGTCCTTCATTTAGCCTAGACTGAATTGTATCAGTCACTATGTTAGGTGGCTCACCGTCACGGTGCGCTCTGAATTCTTTTTAGATGGTTGGAGGTCGTCGGCAGAGCGTATCTGCGATATTCAAGAAAATCATATCCCTTCTGAAATTTGAAGCTTTGTCACACAATGTTGCAGTTTTGAAAGAGAATGAGACAGTTTTTTTATACAAATGCCATCTCGTAAAACAACGCCTACTAACTAGGACCTTCTACGTGTACCTTTTGCATTTTTGATTGGACACTAGTCAGTAACTAGTGTAATGTATCTAATCCTATCTTCGGTGCAGACTGAATTTGATCAGTCAAGTTTGCAATGTGGCCAGCATGGTAGGTGGCTCGCCATCACGGTGCATTGTGAATTGTTGGTATTAGATGGCTGGAAGCCATCGGTAGGAAGCTTTCAACCTAGGTCTCGTGCTAGTTGGCACTCACTGGTCAGTAAGGCGTATCTACAACCTTGAAAGCAGCTCATTTCCCTTCTGAGATTTGAACCTGCATCACTCAGTGTTGCAGTCAGAGGCGACCTCTGAGCTATTCAGGCTCGCGATCGACCTCCTGTAGGACTATATTCGATACTTCGTTTGGTGCTTATGAGTTCCAACTACCATGAAACGCAGACTCAAGGCTTCCTACCGATTGCCCCGAACCATCTAATACTTTTGCGTTTTTCACCCCGTTTACATGTGACTAGGATCAGTAGCACTGAAACACTTATATCTTTCAGATGTGTGTTTTTTTAACCTCTATCGCGAACTGTTGTCATTTATTTTAAATTTTAAAGTGCTGTATAATAGATAGAAAATAGTTGATTTATTCCATGCCTTCTTTTCATAGAATTTGATTGGTGAATCAGAAGTTGATCATCAGGATACTCCAGGCATATCACAGAGTTCGAACAAGTAAGTTAACGAGGTTTTTTGAGGACAGTATTTTACAGTAGTGTAGTCATTTTTACACTGGATCCCTTTTTTGAATGACATTTAAGGACTGATTCAAAGAATATTCTTTTAAGTGCTGATTCACTTGAGATTAGATCACATCTCATCAAGCTCAAACTTTAAAATTAGTCTACTGTATATCGGTGACTGACCACTTGACAGGCATCCTAGTATTCGTGACCAGTAGGGTCCACAAAGTCTAGTGTGAGAACAGACAGTCGCTGCTGACATCAGCTCTAGGTAACCCTATGTATCACCAGTTGGTAGGATCTAGGATTCATATACCGTTGGATTCTGCTTAAGTGATGAATGGTCAGAAAGTATGCCTCGTTACCCAGAGGTACTCAGTTCGTTGGTGTGTACTGCTGAACTTTCCCATAGTAGGACAAAGGCAGGTGTCTAGTACTCCATCGTTTCCAGTGGTTCTTTAACTGATGTCAATTTCTAGTCTAACATAAACCCAACCAAATCCCTCCAAACCAGCATTAGTAATTCCATTCTGGAAAGCTGTACAGAAGCAATTTATATGCATTCTCCATTCCATAAGCTCACAGAGCGATAATTACTATTATTCTTGTTATTTAAATTTACTCACTAACTGACATTAGTTAGAGGAACACTGAAAACCGAGGAGTGGTGGGCAAGTGTTTTACTTCAAGGGAAAAATAATGAAATTCAGAAGAGCAGATGCTAATTTTCCAGCTGAAATATGAAAAACTTGCTTTTCTGCTGAGAAATAAATGTCAGTTTTACGAGAAACAAGTGTCATCAAGATATGAAATAATATATATTACGACTGAAGACGAAGGTTTACTAAAGGAATTGGTCAGAAAACTGAACTAAAAGAAAGGAAACGAGACTAGATGCCCAAAAGAGCCCTGTTTTCTCACTGAGTATGTTGAGGATCTCTAGAGTTGAAAGACGTTGGAAACATACTGTCTTTAGCAGATTTCTTTGCTACTTTGTGGCTAACTCTCATTGATGGCAAGTCATATTAGACACATAAACTGCGACTGAGAACAGTCATTAAAAATGGATTCATGAGAAGATTTATATTTGCTGAACTTCCTGATAGGTATTTCCATAATTCTGATAAAGATAAACATACAAAGTGGATGGAAAAATGATTATGGAATCTTTTCAGATGAAAAAAGGGGAAATTTTGTAAACTGTATGCAAACACATAGATTATAAACAACTCTGTTTATTTGCCGTCAATTGTACTGAAGTGTACACAGATTAAAAAGGAATTCACTTACCTCATATTTAAACACAGACATACTAAAATATATATATATATATGTATTTTTTGCACAGTGCGTAAACATCCTGACGCAAATAGGAAAAACAGGAAAGAATGATGGATGAAAGGCAAATAAACGATGATGCAATTCCGCTAAAAAATCTGCTGACGAAGTAGTACTCATATGACTAAAAATATTTAGAAAATTTACATAAAATTGTATGTAAATTGTGCGTCAACGGTTCGAGGGTAGGATGCTTGCCTATCACGCAAGGTGTACAGATTCAATTCGCAGCTGATACACTGCTAAACCCCAACAACCGGTAGTAATCCTGAGAGAGAGAGGGGAGATCAGTCTTAGGGCCAGCAACTTTATTCAATTAAAAACTAGAACTTCAAACCTTGAAACCATGTGTTCCACTCGGAATGGAAAGGGACATGGCGTCATCAACTGTCTACACTGTGCCTTATTTCACTTAACCTATGCTTAATTAAACTTCAGAAGTAGTGTGGAATTTTCAAGCTAACAGTGTGTAATGCTCCTGTTAACGAAAATACAATCCATTCTACACGTGAGTTCCTTAAAGCAAGTTGTCATAGGAAACGGAATCGCAGTTTCACATCTATTGGTAGGACAGCATACGGGTGCTCTGAATTAGCCTTAGTTATTAATCCATTATATCCTAGAGGTTGCCTTGTAACCGGGAGATTTTCAATTCAAACTTCAGTGTGTGCGTCCTATTGAGGAGTCTTGAAATAGGATGAAACAGCTGTCAAGCACCTCCCAGCTTTGTGCACTAGTGGTTCAGTGGTAGTATAATCGCCAACTAACCACGTGGCCTTAGGTTTGACTCCCAGCTGACGCATTCTTAAATCTCTCTAACGCGGTAGTAAGTCTTGTAAAGAGAGAAAGTTGGGTATGAGTCTAGCTACTCCACCCCATGAAAAATAAATACCACTGATACTGAAACTTCAAACGCCAAGCTTAAAGCCTTATACTCCAATAGGGACGGAAAGGAACAAAATAAAAAAAGATCTGTTGTTTGTTAAATGATTTGTGTTTAAATTGCCTGAGCTAGTTATAATATATACATATATGTTTGATGAATACTGGTTGTGTATTTAGATACCAGTTCAGTAGGGACTAGTGCGAGTAGTGTCTCTCCACCACACTACCAACCACTGAGATTTGTAGGTTACTTAATATCAGGTGAGTTACTCACTAACTTGTTTCAGTATAGAACTTTACACAGAAGTACAACAGTTTGAGTTGACACACTCCATGTACCATACAAGGGAAGACGAAATAGATAAAACAGAGATTTAAGGAAGAATTATGAGCAGAAATGTTTAGTAGAAACAGTATTAACATGGAAAATAAAATAGGGTTTAATGAATTTGGCAGATCACAAAGAGCGTGTGCATCTATCCCAGTGACAACGATTTTGAGCCACATCACCAATTGTCTCCAGCCACTGGTTCTTAGAATCCCAAGAACCCCAAACAGGAAGCCTACACTACCCTACGTGGCTCAAACTAACTGCCAAGGATTTCATGGACTGATGAGGCAATGTTTTGGTTTGACCTCCACTAGCTCTTTTCCAACCTGATCCTATGTCACCTAACATAGGCCGTCAAGGAAGTTGATGGTTAGGCATATGTAACACATCTTCTCACCATCCAAACTGGTGTAGCTTCATAACATCATCGATCGAATTTGCTTCCTTACCTAACACACGATTCCTAACCTCAGTATTAAACAACCTATTATGCCATCCAACATGGTCAGAGTCAACTAAACTTTTGAAGTCCTCTACTTTCAATGGCCATACCTCTCAGTCATAAAGGAGGATGGAGGGGACTGCTTCCAAGCAGTACACAAATTCTTTCAACGATAGCAGAATATCATATCTACTCCAAAAATCAACTAGGCTTTATCGATCACATAATGAGTCAGTATAGAATAATTAACACAAGGAAATTCAACAGTTGCATGAACTTCGCTTAACCTAGGAAATGATTCAAATGATGCATAATCGAAAGTGTCATATAAATACACAATCTCAGCTTTTGAAAATGTTTCTGTTAGTTACTGAGAATCATACTTAAATAACACACATCTCAAACGATGCATGTTTTCTGTACTAAACCTGCAAAGCAGTAGGTGAAATTTGGTTTATTTTCTGCATTATAGAACTCTGAATGAAGTTGGACAAGAACGTCCACCAATCATCTCAACAGTAAATTCCTTCCGTGAACGTCAAAGACGAATGTTACGAAAGCAGAATACAATAGCCGATTTAAGTTGTCGAAATCAAGTGGCCAATACTAATCAAGATTATGGTAAGTTTGATTCAAATATGATTATTTCTCAAAGATGTGTTTAATAAAGTAATTAATCATTAACTGAAAAATCAAGCTTTAAAAGTAAATTGAACAACAATGAATATATCAGTCAGTGAGTTGAACGCTTCAAAGAATATTTCCTGGATAGTGATGACCTGTATCCCGTAGTCTATAAGCGTCTAGCTTCTTGATAAAGTTCTTTGTGAAGGCAGGAGAAAGGAAAATTTGCAGTATGAAATGCAGGCAGTTCATTTCGGTGCTTCTCTTCAACTCCCGATAGAGACTATTCACAAAAGATGGACATACATTTCTTGAAATTCTATTCGGCAGAAATTCAGCACGGGGATCGTCGTTTAAGGAATAATGTGGTGACACAATAAGCATTTACTAATGATCGGAAGTCCATTAAATGAGTTAAGATCAGAGATCAAAACTAAAGTGATCAGAGTAATAATGACAGTAATGAGAATAGTAAAACAAATGGAAAGAATTACAGGATGAATAATTACGTAATAAGTTGAAATAGATGCTACGAAGGTAAACAGAGAATAATCACTGCTCCACTCTGTATACACAAGTTTTGTTTGGTTTCCTTGATAGCAACAGACTCAATGAATCGAAGTAAATTTGGATTTCCCTGCTTTTTGGTAATGATAAATGCAGTCTGAAAATCCACTGTGTACCCAGCGGCTCTAGTAAGAGGTTGGGAATCCTTGTTTTTCAAGCTTTTCTGAACTATTATTATTATTGTTCCCTTGGGTTCCTAGTGGAACATAGGGCTTCAACTTCACGTCTCCACTTGCTTCTGTCTTCTCCTGTACTTTCCACCTGCATCCATGTTAGTCCACACTGTTTCAACTCCTCTTCACACGATCTCCTCCATGTAACCATTGGACGTCCCACTCACCGCTTCCCTTTCGGGTTCCACTCGAGTGTTGGCCTGACGCGCGATGTCACCCAGTGACCTCCCCAGCGAGTGTCCAATCCATCTCCACTTTCTCCTGCATATTTGTTGAGCGATTGGTTCTTGTTTTGTTTGTTCCCACAGTTTCTTGTTGGTGATTCTTTCCGGCCATCTGATTTTGAGTATAGAGCGAAGACAGCTGTTGATAAAGGTCTGCAACCTGTTGGAAATATTCTTTGTGACACACTGGCCAAGTTTCTGATCCGTATAGAAGAACTGACTTGACGTTTGTATTGAAAATCAGAATCATTTTGTTGTTGATGCAGGCTGAGTGACGAAGATTTCCAGATTGGTTTCAAGTTGATGAATGTGTTTCTCGCCTTCCCGATTGTCGATTTGACATCTTCGTCCGTTCGTCCTGTAGTTGAGGCAATGCTCCCTAGATAAGTGAATGAAGTAAAGTATGTAAGTGAATGAAGCTTTTCTGAATGGATGGCGGATTTCATCATGAGCTAACATCAGTTATAGAACCACTGGAAAACCCACTGGGAGTACTGGACAGCTGTTTCGTCCTGATTTTGGACCCTTCATTGGTACGCACCCACCGGGGCTTGAACCTAGGGCCTTCTGGTCACAAGGCTAGCGAGCTCATAGACTATTAAGCCACTGGGGTCCGATCCCATGGCGCATGACTTGTGAATGTGTTTGGAGAAGTCCACGGCTGTCCACTTTTCTGTGTTACTAAAGTACTTGCTGTAGAACGAGCATTTGTATGTGTAAACACAGTTAGACGTGACTTTAGACGGGGATCTTTCTACTTCCGATTGATAAGGAACACGACTAGCGTTGTAAAAAGGAACAAGTTTAGATGCTAGAAAAGTTTTAACAAGGGCAACACTTTTTCTCTTGTCTACACGGTATGATACATCATCTTCTCTGAAGGTTAGCTAGATGAGTACAGACTTCTTCTCGACTGTAACAACATTCTTCTCATTACTGCAATTTTTATCGAAACGAAATTCTTTGAATACCTATTTTCAAACAACTGCTTTTCAAAGAATTCTAACTGTCCATGCCATCTGACTTCAGAGCAAAGTGTATGCACCACCTCAAGCAGCAGCGTCCTGACCAGCCCTTCTTAGCAATTTTTTAAAGCATGGTCCACTTCGGTTGTTGATAAAGTCATATTACCATAAATTCACTTCCTTTCGCTTTCATATACTTGGACATTTCACGCATTCTATCTTATGTTCTCTCTGAAAAGTGTCACAAGGCTTTATCATTAGATTGAAAAAAATGGTTGTCTTACCTAACCAACTATATAGTGGTGTCCAGTTTCAAGTTAATCAGTATAACATGCCTAGAAAAAAACATACATTGATATAAAATCTAATAACAAGTTTAATTTGGAAATTGCATATCTTAACTGATAAGGTGAAACACTAGTGAGTTCACTAAGGCAATGGTGTAAAATGAAACCAGCCTATATAACCTTTAATAAAAGTCGCTTACGATAAATTAAATGAAAATAATTAATGTTCCCAGATAATTATTATCATTATTTTTCTCTTCGGTTGTCAGGGGGACATAGGGTTTCATCAGCACATTTCCATTTTGTCCTATCCTCTAGAGTTCCCCTCAGCCTGCTCAACGACTGCCCATAATTTTGCACCTCCTCTTTGAATGCCCAGCTTGTTTTTTCCCATTCTGGTTCCAGGACAGGGCCTGGCAAGCGATGTCACCTGACAGTCTCTTTTCGAGTGCTTTACGTGATGAACAAGTTTCTGAACTATATAGAAGAACTGACTGATTTGACATTAGTGTTGACAATCCGAGAATCTTGTTCCTTACGTTGAGTGCAGTAGATTTCCAGACGGATTTCAGAGTGAGGGAGGCCTACTTTGATTTCCGGACCCTAGGTGGGTCTGACGTCCTCATCGATGCTGACTGACTGTAGTTGAAACGATGTTGCCGGAGACAGGTGAAGGAAGTAATCTCTTCCAAATTTCTCCTGTTGATTGTGATGGATGTTTATTGCTGGTGGACAGTTATCTTCATCACTTCCGTCTTCTTTACGTCCACTTGAAGTCCTGTCTGTACTGTTCTTCTGCAGACAGCTGGTTGGTTTTCACCTTGAAGTTTTCGAATTCATGTGACATGAGACATAAATCATCTGCGAAGTCCAGATCTTCGAGAGTGGACTGCAGAAGGCATTCTCAGAACCATGCCAGAATTATAAATATCAGCATCAGTGAATGTCTGCCGCATCGAAAAAAGCATAATTCATTCTCTAACAATAAAAATTTACTGGAATGAAATATTACCATATGATTCACGGCCTACACCAGTCAGTGGATCAGATAGTCAAAAACGTTCAGCAACAATGAACTCTCACCGTACTGTGAAGTAGCTAATAATCTTTGGACCAACAAATACACAGAAGGAAATGGAGATGGCTTGGACATATACTATGCTGAGGAGACCATCTAGGACATCATAAACTAGATCCTCCTGTGGAGTGGAAAGCTGTGCGTTAGGCCTCCGGTAGAGCATATGGATAATCATGAAGCTGGTTCCAGGTGATAATAAAGAACCAGATGCAATAATAATAATTTGCTTTATTCGAAAACATTTCATGTGATACAGAATGGAATTCTCAACATTTCCACTACAGTATTGCATCCACTTAGTACATTACCAATAAATAGAATTCTACATAGAATAAGAAAATCTCAGTTCTTTATTGCAACAACACATTGGGATGTTGGTAGCAAAGCCAAAGCTGAACAGTGTTTGAAGGTGTTAGAAAAGTAGGTGCCATCATATTTACAGGCGTAAGCGGAAGAAAGAAACAAACCAGCGCATAACGGAAAGAGAGAGAGAGAGAAAAGGAGAAGAAAGAAAGAAAACGTTGTACCTATAAATGATATGGGTTGGTAAGACGACATCCAGTTGTTCTACTGACTATATAATAATTTATAGGTATCACGCCTAATGCTTTCTTTACTGTACAGAACATGTGCTAAGTGGGGCATGGTTGAGTTTTTGTACTTGCTAGTGCGAGCATATAGTTTTCTATATAGGCTTCTGGTTTTGCCTGATGAGATGCAAGAGGAGAGTTGTGAGTGAAGAGGGTGGTGTGAGTTAGATAAAATGGATTGGGCCCATTTTTCATATGAGTCCATGTGCGTGTCAACCAGAATATTAACAAGCTGATTAAGTGGAATGTTGCTTACTCTGCTGACAACCTTTAACATCCTGCGTAATATGTTATAGTCTTTCTTCAATAGCCCAGGAAACACTAAGGGGGGGCAATAGACAATAATAGACAGAATACAAGAGTTGACGAATTGTAGGAGTAAGGGTTGGGTTATACCAGAATGTCTTAACTTCTTGATGCAGGAGGTAAGACGGAGTATTTTCTTAGAAATCGTCAAGATATGAGACGACCATGAGAGATCAGCACATAGAATGACGCCTAGGTATTTAATTTCAGACTTTGTTTTCTATTTCACTGCCATCTATGTTGCATACCTCGTGAGAGCCAACCAGTTTGTTTAGGTCGGATTTATGCCTAAAGGTGAAATTGACTGTTTGGCATTTGGAGGGGTTTAATGTAAGACCGTTTTCCTTGGACCACTGGCTGATTTCTGATAGGAAGCCATTAAGTTTAGAGCAGTCACTTTGACATTTGACAGACAAAGATACAGTCAGGTCATCAGCATATTTAACAAAATTGATGTCATTTGAAGATGGTAAGACATGTAGAAAGAAAAGAGAAGTGGGGAGAGTACAGCACCTTGGGGGACACCAGCTTCAGTGAGTTCAGCATAGGATGTGGCCGTATTTGGCCTTATTTTTCTCCTTAGAACTCAAGGCATAAATGATACCTTGCTTCTATTAGCCTGAGAATTAGCCTCAGAAACTCACAGTATTATTATAGTAAAATAACCAAAACTTTTCCCAACTTCTCTTTTACATTACAACAAACTATTAGAAATAAAATCTAACAAAATGACAAACAATACCATTTTATTGATAAATATGAACACACGAAAACAATTTTCTGCTTCACTAGCAATTATTAATTAAACAATGTAATAATGACAGTTTGACGTATGGTATTAACGTAACGTATTATTCTGTTCAACTGTCAACTATTATACATAATGGCATTGTATTTAGATAGAGAAAAAAATAATCCCACTCATAAAATAATTCTCAATGTTAAAGGCTAAAAGAATTTGTTTGTTTGTTTATTTCAAATCAAAAAGTTATCCAGCCTTCATATTGATGTTCAATATATATATATATATATTCAATGTGTTCAATATGTACACTAGAAACCATTATGTTGACAAAATCGTTTTAGCAATAGATGTTAATTTAAACAAATAAGTTGTCGATTTTTGAAAATAAAGTTTTTTAGTGATATCATCAGTGATGAATGCAGAGAAAAGAGCTCAATTCATGGAATTTTAGACAACTGAAGAAAGACTATACCTTATTACGCAGGATGTTAAAGGTTGTCAGCAGAGTAAGCAAAGTGCCACTTAACCAGCTTGTTAATATTCCGGTCGACAGACACATGGACTCATATGAAAAATGGCCTAAATCCATTCCATCTAACTCACACCACCCTCTTCACTCACAACTCTCCCCTTGCATCTCATTAGGCAAAACCAGAAGCCTATATAGAAAACCATATGCTCGCACCAGCAAGTACAAAAGCTCAACCATACCCTACTTAGCTCGTGTTCTGTGCGATAAAGAAAGTATCAGGCGTGACACCTATAACTTATTAAATAGTCAGTAGAACAACTGGATCTCGTCCTTCCAACTCATATGATTTATAGGTACAACATTTTCTTTCTTTTCCTTTTCTCTCTCTTTTTTCTGTTTTGTGCTGCTTTGTTTCTTTCTTCGGCTTACGCCAGTGAATATGACAGCGCCTACTTTTCTAACACCTTCTAACACTTCAATTTTGGCTTTGCTACCGACATGCCAATATGTTGTTGTCATAATGAACTGAGATTTCCTTAATCTATGTAGAATTTTATTTATTGATAATGTACTAAGTGGATGTATTACTGTAGTAAAAATGCTGAGAAGTCCATTCTGTTTCACAAGTACCGTTTTGGAATATAGCAAATTATTACTACTATTATTATTAACATAACAGAGAAGATTTATAGCTCAGGTTGTGGATATGTTCTCCGAGCTAAGGGGTTAACTTGTGAAACTTTAATTTTCTTGTTTAGACAATTTGTTCAACTCTTATTTCGATAAGCTTCTGAATAAAGTATCCACTGAATGCAGCATCAGTAATAGCCACTATCGGCATAAATAAGGTCGTGTTCATCTCAAGGCCATCGAGTCTGAAAAATATTTGAAAGCGTTGATCGTAGAGGGATTTAGAAGTTACCTCAACACTACGAAGTATTTCAAACCTTTGTTAGCCTAATTTAACAGCTAGACGGTGATCCTGTGGTGGTGTAATACAGACAATGTCTGCCAACGGAATATTATTCTCACATGTTCCCACAGTTCAATTCGGCATTAGCAACAGTATACGATATATCTATTTGGACATTCTGTTTGATGTTAGAAATAGAATACCTTTCCTACGGTTATATTCTGCAGTAGCAACAGAATACTGCACATATTTGAACATTCTATTTCTTACGGTTTGATTTAAACCGCACACGCTCACTGATTAATTGGTTAACGAATATAAACTGGATATAGATAAACAACGGTGTGATTATTGAAAAATACACTTTGGCTTTAGTATTTTGCCTTCTGTTGTTACAATGCTGCATGTCGAGTGGAAAACTCAGAGAAGTCTTTGATGTGAAGATAGGAATAAGATAAGGCTGACTACTATCAACGGTTATATTCTAAAATGCGGTGAAATAGGTCATTCGACAAATCGTGCGGAGTGAGGTGACAGCAGTGCTTTGGACGGACAAGGAGACTCTTGAAGATTTGGACTTCGCCGGTGATTTCTGTTTAATGTCACATAAACTCAAACGTCTACCGGGAAAAAGTCAACAAGTTGGCAGAAGAGACAGGTGGTTTGAAAAGGACTTAAAGTGAAAATAAAAAAGACAGAGGTAACGAAGATGTATGACAACAAACAGCAACAACAAGCACCAGTCACTACTGAAGAAAGAAGAAGGAGGAAGACGTCCAAGCTAACTAGGGTTGTAAAAATCAATGCAGCCTTTCATTCAGTCATCATCTTTTCGATGATTTCCTCTTTTGGCTCTACAATTATATGTACAACTTTATATACATAGAATATTCTAGAATAGTAGTCAATAACAATATTAGTGTTTTATAAATAGTATCGAACTGTAAAGTAAAATCAATGGAATTACAGTTCATTAAAGATGCTTAAATTATAATAATAATAATGAAGATATAATAGCAAATAGAATATCAACCATAATTAGGGAAATTTCCACAAAAACTGAGGATCATTCAAACCTAGATGGCCAAGGTAATGATAATTTCTGAACTAGCTTCTTTTGTACGCATAAATTAGGCTTCTTAATGTGGATCCCAACAGCCTCAGAAATATTTAGTAGTCGAACTCTTAAGGCGAAATTGAGATTCGTAGGTATGTGGTAAATGACACTGAAAGCATGGTTAAAGTCAGTCTTGTGTTCTGCATCCACACGATGAGATAGAATAGCGCTGCAAATAGATTTCGTTTGTCCTTTACTTAACCACTTCGCAGGGTGATGTTCGGAAATTCGATGAGAAATGCGCTTTAATGTACGGCCTATGTAACTCGCTCACTCCATAGGAGCAGTCAAACTGGTAGATACACATGGAAGGGGCGAAGTTAGGCAGTTTATCTTTCACTCCCGAACGCAAAAGAGTAGTGCTTTTGAAGATACAGAGTAATTCAGCAGCAGGGAATGCTCTTTTTACCTCATTCCCAAGGAGTTGTGTTCGTATCTTGCTGATGGCCTTACCTTGACCATCTAGGTTTGAATGATCCTCAATTTTGTGGAATTTTCCTAATTTAAGTTGATATTCTATTTGCTATTATCTTTTTAGTATGATTATTATTATAATGTAAGCATCTTTAATGAACTGTCATTCCATTGTGATCTCACTTTACAAATCGATATTATTTAAAGAACACTAATATTGTTATTGAGTACTATTCTAGAATATTCTATGTATATAAAGTTGTATTTAAAATTGTAGAGCCAGAAGAGGAAATTATCGAAAAGGATATTCTTTGCTCAATTATTTTGTATTCTATATGGTTCAGGAACTTGGTATGTCGACAAAGGCACTACGAACGGACTTCATACTTTCACCAACATCTGCCTTCACTTCATACTGAAGACCGCATGAGAGGTTGGAAAGGAATAACCAGAAGGAACTCTAGCAGTGGACTAACCAAGAACCTACTGCTCAGCATATATGAAGAAGAAAGTGGAAATGGGTCAGAAATGCTCTGAGGCGACTGCTGAATAAAATCACACACACACCAGGCAGTCCAGTGGAACCCGAATGGAAAATGACGAATTTTGCGCAGGTACAAGGCTGACATGGAGCAGATTGTCTCAGGTGGAGATGAGAGATTGTTGTCAATTTTGGGCCAGATAAGGATAAATGCAGAAAGTAGGATTATTAATAATAATAATGATAATAATTTATAATACATCTCAAGGCATTGCTGAACGCTGTGTACCAGATGCTGACGTGTCAGTAGCCAGCGAGTATTCTGGTCTAATTTAATTTATAAGGGGGAAATTCAGAATATCCCCCCAACATTTATATACTTCACTTCTTGTTGGAAAAACACTACAGTATCAGTAATTTGTACTAATTCAAAATTAGGCATGTAACATTTTTATTATCATTGGTATTTCTTAGAGAAGACTTCCCTTTATTTCACTTTTCGAGTAGTTTGAAATAGCCACCATTCGTTAAAATGAAAATTAACAATTTTCATTGTTCACCTAAGTACTTTTTTTAATTGTGTGTTTTTTTTGTTCAATGTAACAATAATTTTGTACATTTATTTCTTTTTTCCTTATTATCTTTTTTAAAATTACAAAATGAAAATGCAACAAAAGAACTGAAAAGAAGAGCAAATGTCTTTATGAAGCTGGTAAGTCTTTCAAAAACGTGTGAGCATCACTCCCACTAGAAATTTGTATTCATTATGTTTTTTTTCGCGATTATTATTACTATTATCAAGGCAGAGTATATAGTTTGTTGAATTAGTCCAAACAAAATATGAGTATTAAAGAAACATGAGAGTTAGAATTATGTTACTTTACTTGTACAGGCTAGCAGTGGAATTCATGACGTGCACTTCCTGTCTTATTTGAGACTAACTGGCTGAATGGAACGTGCCTTCATCCCCAATGCCTAAGAGTATTACTAGAAGGTTTCGGACCCAACACCTGTCGTTTCTAATGCTGAGGCGTAATCTACTAAGCCACAAGAGCTATCTCACTGTACAACGGGTATCAGAAAAATAACCGTTTACACATTCAGAAAATTTCATACATTTATTCCCCTTAATGAATTTGAACAAAGCAATAACTACAGTTTTAGCAGAATAAAATGGTACCATCTGCGGGCGCAGTTACATTGGAGGAACAGAAATAAGGACACATCTACGATTTTCTGAACATGTATCAAAAAGCTTAAGTCTAAAGGGAACAAATGCTTTGAACAGTGCCATTCCCAGGCATCTTCTCGACACGGGTGATCATGAGGTGGACGTCGAAAAGTCGTTCAAAATTAACAATAAGCAAAAGAGCTCAATTCTCCTTAAGTTTGCTGAAGCCATTTCCATCAAGCGCCTGAAACCTGACTCATGCGTTCAGAAAGAAGTGGTTATCAGTCTTTCTTTGCCAACCTGGTAACTGGATATTTTTCATCCGAATGCGACATGCTGAAACGTTTTCATTAAGTATGATTATTTTTGTTCAGAATAGTGTCTAATATTGCATATATATATGTATATATTATTAGTGTATGCGTATATTGATCGATTGATTTCTGTTTAAAATGAACTCTGTGCAAGTATATTAAAATTGCTTTTTAGATACATTTATTAATGTCTTCGCCTTGTAAGCAACTGACGAGAAGGCAACGAAATAAAAGATGGTACCATTTTATTCTGCTAAAACTGTAGTTCTTGCTTTGTTCACATTCAGGAAAACTAACAAATTGTGCGAAGAAATATATTTCTTCTCAATTAGTTCTGCATCATCGACTCTACACTAACATATAGTTTTTTTGGTATCAAAATCATACCAATCGTGTGGTTATCGTAGCCCAGAAGATTTAGGTGTAGGGGAGTGAAATCAACAAGTTACAAGTCATCAAAACAGTTAACTAGTAGATATTAGTAACAAGATGTATAAGTTTTGAAGGAGAGGTGAAAATTAACTAATTACGGAATAAAAGATAAGTTGATTCTTAGGCGTTAGCAATAAGTTATTAGAAAAAGGCACAAACAGCTGACAAAATTTTCTTTTCGACGATACATTTTCACGAGATGTACAATCGTAATTATAATTAACAAAGAAATCTTTAGACCAATCAGATACTGGTAAATTTTGTCCTTGGAAAATTGTATTACATAAAGTGAGGTGTAAGGAGGGATGACTAATTGTAAGCTAGAAAGGAGACAGAAGTTGGCATGACGTGATAAGTGTGAGATAATGACTAACAAATAAGCTGGTGTAGAATGGACAGGAACTAGTGGAAAGGCTATAAAGTGTTTTTGTATAAAATATGTGTGAAAAACAATGTTATTAATAAACAGTAATAGAGTGGTAATAAAATGTGGATGATGGGAATAATAATGATAATAAAATTATTAATAAAATAAAATAATAATAGTAGTGAACTTACATAATAAAGGAAAGAAGCAAAATTGTGGTAAGAACTTTACTCTGGCCATGTTAGGGCAAGAGAATGTATGTATCGCTTTTGTATTCAGAGGTCCGGTCCATCATCCACATTTTAGTACCGCTCTATCACTGTTTACTAATAACATTGCTTTTTCATACAGATTTTATACAAAAACACATTATAGCCTTTCCAATAGTTCCTGTCCATTTTATACGAGCTTATTGATTATTCATTATCTCACACTTATTACGTCATGCCAACTTCTGTCTCCTCTCTAACTTGCAATTAGTCATCCCTTCTTACACCTCATATTATGTAATACAATTTTCCAAGGACAAAATTTACCAGTATCTGGTTGATCTAAAGATTTCTTTGTTAATTATAATTACGATTGTCCAGCTCATGAAAATGAATCGTCGAAAAGAAAATTTTCTTCGCTGTTTGTGCCTTTTTCTCAATATAGGAATATTTCGTTCAGCAATTTATTACATATCCAAGAAATTTGTAAAATAGCAATGATGACTAAGAAGAATAGGATAACTCAGAAGAATTACGAAAAATTTGTCAACAAGTTAGCAAAATTAGCTAGAATCGAAAACGTAACGAAGTCGAAAGATTGTTACAAGGGGCGAAGGGGAAATAGTTTTTAAAGGCTTAATACACATTATGCAGTTGGCCATGGCAAAGAAAGCGGCTGCACAGACTTCTTATGAACACACAGATTTGGCTTGTTCAGATGAATTCCAATTGTCTATACGCAGCTCAATACTGCCTCATCTCGTCCAGACTAGACATCAAGTCTCCTACAACAAAGCTTTTAAAGTTATTTTATCGTATTTCACTTAACATTTCGCAAGCTCTACAAGTACGATGTTTACATTCAGTAGAAACAATCGGAATTCATCTGATAAAGTCAAATCTGTGTGTTCAAGAGAAATCTGTGCAGCTGCCTTCCTTTGTCTTGGCCAACTGCATAGTATGTTTTAAGTTTTTACTAACGATCCCCCTTGTAACTATCTTTTGACTTCGTTATTTTCACAATTCTAGCTAATTCAGTTAACTTGTTTGTATTTTGAATAATTTTTTCTGAGTCATCCTATTCTTCTTAGTCATCATTGCAATTTACGAATCTCTTGATTATGTAATAACTTGTTGTAACCTCGAGGAATTAACTTGTCTTGAATTCCGTAATTAGTTAATTTTCACCCCTCCTTCAAAACTTATACATCTTGTTACTATTATCTACTAGTTAACTGTTTTAATGACTTTTAACTTGTTGGTATCACTCCTCTATTCCCTAAATGTTATTGACTACAATAACCACATCGAATCAATAATATCAATAGATTACAGTTCAATAGCATCAACATAAAAATAAACTGAATGTCAGAAAAACCTAGGGAAGATAATATTACAAATTCATGAATTTATAGTCTCTACTGAAGGCCGACCAGGGCAGTAGTAGTGCCTGGCTGGACTTGCTTCTTTTGCACACAAAGCACTGGTTGTTTGAGGTGAATTGCAATCGCCTCTGCTGTTTGGAGCATGTGGTGCTTCTATGATTTTGGCAATTTATTAGGCACCCGTTAGATGATAGAGAAGGGTTCTTCAACGCTGGCTGGCTTTGTGGCCGGTCAGTTTGCACCAGATGGTCCAAAATCGAACTGTTAACGGTTTTCACTACGCCTTTACTTAGCCATAGTGAAAGATGTTCTCGAGCACGAAAAATCAAGTTCCTATAACAACGACCGATATATTTTGTTTTCATTCAATTTGTTGTTTACTGCGGCGTCTATGTAGAGTCCGTATTGAAGACATATTTCAACAGAAACTGAGCATATTAGTTGCAGTATATTCAGTTGCGGGGGGCATTTAAAATATCTCTTACAAATAATACGAGTCCATTTTAGGGTACTGTTCCCACTAGTGAACCAGACGATGTTAAGGAATGTGTCAATGTTTGACAATCCAACCCCCGAAAACGTCAGTTGTTGTCGAGCATCTTACAATTGAATCACTTGATCATACATATTAAGTGCCTGATAAATATACTGGGTTTTTTATGTTTTGTTTTTGAGGCTAATGAATTGAGATCACTGATACATTAATGTGAGCAGTTGTTTTCGAGACACAGTTCAACTATTACTCGTGTAAACCACTGAGAAAAGAAGAAAAATTGGAAAGAAATCTCTGTTTTTGTATAATTTATTACACAGTTGTCGACTGCTTTATATTAACCATCACGAAATATACCAATTTATTCATTGATAAGGAAAAGCACACAGTTTTGTTCAGACTATAGAAAAAATATTATTTCCTAATAGAACCACTTCTGCGTTATCAAGCTATACAATTGTTTCGGAAAAAGAAGGAATTAAATGTCATTAAATAACTGCTCAGCCGTCAAATTTAATATGACAAGAAGCAAATGATTTTAAAACAGGGTTACAATTTAGGTGGATGAATCACAAAAATGTTTAACAGACTACTGAATAAACTTATTAGTATTAGGAATTTTAAAGTAGTTCACCTAGTGTTAGTAATAAAACGTGCGATGTTGATACTAACAAAGAATGCGAGGATAAAGTGAAATAGACCGAAATTAAAGGGGGTTTAAACAAAACGTTTTTCAATACACAGTTTAGGTTTTTGCTCATGTATAGACAGAGCTTCAGTTAGCTCTAAAAGTCATCAGGAAAGACGATGAAGATCGTATTCCTGAAGAATTCTGATAGAGGCTTTGAAAATAAACTCTGCAACTCACAAGACACGACAACAACAACAACAATGAAACTGTAGCATATCAAATACTCAATCAGATGTAGTTATATGATAGTGAGCTGAGCTTATCCATTTTTTGATAACCAAAAGTCCTTTCCCTATGGGATGATGTTTATGAAATTAAAATACCTCTGATGTATGACAGTAAGATGTAAATAATTTCGAAGAAAACTGTAAATGAATGTATTGAAGGTCAAAATAACAATGAAGATCACTAAGCCAAAGAAGGGAAGTAATAGTATACGTGCCCTGGTATCAAGGTTTAGTGTGATGACGAGTTGTTGCTTTGAACGCATAAAATGGTGGCTTAAACTTTCTAATTGCTAACTACGGCTTACACAAACTTTAGCATACGCCAAAAACACACTTTATAGATAAGTTCAAAAGATGTACAAACATCAAGTTTATGTCCTGTCTCTATAATATGTTTCGCAATCGAGAAGCTAGGTCACCTGTTTTCACCAATAGTCGATTTCTAGGATTCTGTTTGCTTTCTGAAGCCTGTACTTGTAGAGATCGATAGTACTCCCTATGTACTTGCGTCAACATTAAGATACTGACTTCATTTTTCGCATGTTCTAAGGGCTTAGATAGATATATCGGCTTCACATTCTCAATTATTCTGATCTTAGCTGAATAAAAAGTGTTTTTAGCCGCAGCGTTCAATCTTTGACGAGTTACCAAGCTGCTATGATCACCTATATAGGGTAGCTTGATATACACGCCTTTCTAAGTGGTGATCTGCAGAGTGAGTCTCGGTGTTTTGACCACTTTATATATCATTATGAACCTGTCTGAATAATTATTTTCAACTAGAGTTTGTGCCAATTTTCTTATTCATCACCAGTTGTGTCTTTGGTGCATATTCTTTGGATACTACTTTATAATCACCTCACTGAGTCTCTTTTGTACCGAACAGTACAGAAACTGTGATAATTAAGATACACACATTTATAGGATCTCAGAAAGTAAGGACTTCTGAGCGTATTCCTAAATGCCTTCAGAAACACATAGAAACCCCAAAACCAATTAATAGTGAGGACAGACGACCTAGCTCCTTGGCTGCGAAACACACTATGGAGACAGGATATAAAATTGATGTTTGCACGTCTTCCGTATCTATCTATAAAATTTGTTTGCGGCGTGCGCTAAAGTTTGTGAAATCCCTAGCTAACATTCAGGTAGTATAAACCACCTTTTTACTTTCGAAAACTGTAAAGACAAAATGTCTTCATGAATTTAGGAAGTCGTGTGATTAACTTGATATGATTATGAGCAAAAAATTGTGCTCGAAACGTCATCAGTAATAACTTATAACACTGTGATTATAAAATACCATAATGGAATTACACTCTACCACAGTGCCCAAGTTTTATTCTTATATCAAAATGTCTTCACATAGGAAGAACAACATCTTCCGACAGAACTGTGTTATTCTGGTTACATTTTCCCTAACGTTTTTGAATGCCAACATCGACAATCATCTTTCACATTATGCGAAGTAAAATGTCAGTGTGTTCTCAGAAATAGGATCTCTATCACATTGTCATGATTTGTATATCTATTTACACTCCTTTTGTTTTCCTTCTCCTACCTAGATTGAACGAGGCACACGTTCTAAAGAATCACTTCTTGATTTGAATGAAGCTCTACAATCTCTAAAGTCATCCTACTTTCATGATCAATATCTCGAATCGTTTAGAGTAAGTAAATTCATTCTGTTTTTCACACTCTATCTATAGTTCAGTTTTCTGTACAAGCAAATGGTGATTATTTTCGTTATTAGTATTATTATTGTTTTATTCCCATACTTTCCGAGTGAACATAGGGCTTGGAACTAGAGCTTTGAAGTTTCGGTAGCAGTGGTATTGATTTTTAACAGGGTGGGTTTGTTAAACTCACTACAACCATTCTCCTCTTTACCAGACTTTTTACTGGATTAGCGAGGTTTAGCAATGCGTCGGTGGCTGGAGATAGAACGCTGGACCACATGTGTAGTTGACGTGTAGGCTTAATTTATGCTTTCCAGAATCTTCGAAATGTTATTCGTCGCAACGGCGATTTCCACTGAAAAGTCATGAAATAGTGTTCAATGTGTGTTATTTTGATTGGAAACTAGTAACTAGTGTGACGTGTCTAGTCCGTTCTTTGTTGCAGACTGAATTCTATCAGTCAGGTTTAGCAATGTGGTCACCATTCTAGGTAGCTCGCCAAGGAAGATACGCCTTGCTGATGAGTGCCAGCTGGCACGAGACCTAGGTCCAAGGCTTCCTGCCGATTACCTCTAACTATCTAATATCATCAAATGTTTGTTATTTCTAATTTAAGGCACTATTGGATCTAAAATGTTATTTGCTCAAAATATGTTGAAAAACGTCTTTTCTCTTTCACCAATGAATACTGTTGGTTAGGTTTTCAAGTAGAGAGTTTTTGACTGTCAAGTTGAAGTTCTCTGGAAACTAAGAGTTAAGGGCTGGAGAGTTTTAGCCGCCAACTAGGTAGAAAATTGTTCTCACTATTGCAAACGCATTCGCCTGTTTTGTGATCAAGTGTTGGTTTGTGGGGATCTGATTGGTTACAGATTTTACCACGAAGTGAGATCTATTAGAGGACCACTGGAAAGCTTGGCAGTCCTCGACAGCTGTTTCAACTTGGTTCAGGGCTCTCTATCAGTACGCACCCACTGAGGTTCGAACCTAGAACCCTCCAGTACTCCCAGGTTTTCCAATGGTTCCTCAACTCACGTCTTCTCGTGATCGAACGTGTAACCAAACAAATCCCTGCGAACAATTACTTGAGAGTTAATCTGATGTTCACTAGCAAATAGCTCTGTTCGATAAATTGGCCTGAATTTTGATCAGAACTAGTAGCTAGCGGGATCCACTGAGTGAGGTAACAGAACAGTTACTTGCCTATGACATCGAAAATTAGCAGAAGCTGGAATTCATGGGAATCGGGTCCCATAGGTCGAATGGTCTACAAGAAGGCCTTGTAGTTTGAAGGTTATGGGCTCAAACTCCGGAAGCTGAATACTACTAAAAAGCCTCAAATTGGGACGGAATATCTGCTCAGTACTGCATTTATTGTGATCCATTAGATTCTGAAAATCCTCACTACACTTTTTGTTTTGAATCTGGGTGCTTACACGAATTGTGTCAATTTGAACTGATAAACTTTTCTGCAAAGTTCTAAGATTATAATTTTAATTCGTATTGAGTCAGTTCCATGGGGCCGTGAACACTGACAACTCAGATCATCCTAGAGGATGCTATCGCTTTTCGCCTGACCAATTCAATGTTTGTTAAAATATAAAATGCAATATACATATATACATGCATGTGCTTCGGTCGTTGAGCAGAAGAACACTCTTCAACCATATATGTGCTCCCGGGCTCAATCCTAGCCCAACTTATTCTTGAACCTCACTTAGCCGATAGTGAGCTCAGTAAGGAGAAAAGGCTAAATGTGAGTTTAGCCACCCTGTCCAGTAGAAAATGTATGCCATTGCTAGCGAACCTTCAAAGCTCTAGTCTGAAGCCCTATGTTCCACTTGGAATGTAAAGGAATAAAACTTGAAAAAGAAATCAAATTCTTACAAACCAACTCTTGAAAATTCTGGTGAGAAGTCGCGACCATTAGGCTCCATCCAAATACGCACCGCCGATGACATTGGCTGGTGCCAGTGTCGCGCTAAAATCACGAACTTGAAGAAGTTGGAATTCATTGGCGGGCCATTCAGTCAGGACCTTGTGGGCGAATGGTCTACCAGCTTGACTTGCAACTGAAAGGTATTAGGCTCAAAACCTGGTGGGTGCGTACTGCCAATGAGTTAGAAACTAGGACGATACAGCCGTCTAGTACCCCTTGGCAGGTTTTCAATTGTTCTCTCACTGATATCAATCCGTAGTGAGACTTGAAAAAAAGACAGTTAATGAAAACAAAACAGGTAGATCAGCGAAGAGTCTCTTTCTGGCGGCGAATTCATTTTCTTAGCTGTACAATCGCAAATATATATGTGTTATTTTGTATGTATGTGTACAATAAGTTTATCAAACAAAAATACAATTGGTTATATTCAAGTGTTGGTTTGTAGGGATTTGGTTGATTGATTACAGGATTTCATCATGAGCTGACATTAGTTAGACAGCCATTGGAAAACCTCGGAGTACTGGACAGCTGTTTCGTCCTAGTTTGGGACTCTTCATTAGTACGCACCCACCAACAGGATTAAAACCCAGGACCTTCTGGTTACAAGGCGAGCTCGTATACCATTAAGCCACTGGGGCCCGATCCAATGGCCCATGAATTCTAACTTCTGCCAATTCACAATATAGCGCGACTGCTAGCCAATGTCTTCGGCGAGTATTTGTCCTCACATCCGACCTGCTGCACCCTACTGGTCACGACTTCTCACTAGAACCTCAGGTAACTACCTACCTGAATGAGGCAAGTCACTAGTGAGCATCTCATTGATATTCAAGTGTTGGTTTGTAGGGATTTGGTTGATTGGTTACAGGACGAAACAGCTGTCCAGTACTCCCAGGTTTTCCAATGGCTCTCTAACTAATGTCAGCTCATGATGAAATCCTGTAAACAATTGGTTATAGTTATTTGAACTAAACAGGTGAAGATTGGTAATTGGAGTTACGTAATACAAAGTCAGTCAAGAAAACTAGGTGTTAGTGGAATTAGGGTAGCAACAAAGGTGATGAGTTGTCACAAACAGTTGTTTAAAGAAGTTATGTAATAATATGAATAGTTTGATGAGTGAGTTTTACTCAGGATGCACATAGGAACAAAGTAGGCAATAGGAAATTACGTAAGAATTATAAGCAACTAAAGAACAGGCAAAGAAACAAAATTAAGTCATCAAAATCAAAAATACCAAATCAAATCAAAAAAAGTTGTTACCAAGACAGTAGAAGTGGTTGAGTAATCTTCTTCTGTATGCACAGCTCCAGTTTTTCTATGTGAATGGCTAGAGCTTCAGCAATACAAAGAAGACGAAACCTTATTGCCTTTGATAGGTTGTTCTTAACTCTGTAGATTACTTTGAAGCAGGAAGCGTTTGTTGAAATGGAATGATCAGTGTTAACTAGGTAGGTGTTCAATTATCGCACTCCTTATTGCACCACTACTGCCTTTTCGCAACAATGCTGGATAGTGTTCTTAAATCCTCTTGGACAGGGTGCGCGTCGAACGACCGATGTACCTGGCTGGCTCCACAGTGGCAGGTGAACTGATATATGTACACAGAAGTGTTCAGATGCGGGATTTTGTCCTTGAGGCTTCTGCAGATCAGTAGGCGACTGGAGAACACAGTGTTCTTAGCGTTGCTGCAAAGAAAGTTCTTCCCAGAGATTATGTGATCCTTCTTTTGAGAATATCACTTGCTAAATCTCCTTTGAAATCCAAATTCATAAAGAATTTCTCTTTTGGCGCAATTAAAGTTTCGTTTCTCCGAATTCTTGCTTTGATATATCAACTCACTAACTATAACCAATGGTATTTTTGTTTGACAAACTTAATGTGCACATACATACAAAATAACACATACATATATATTTGCGATTGTACAGCTAAGAAAATGAATTCGACGCCGAAAAGAGACTCTTCGCTGATCTACGTGTTTTGTTTTCATTAATGCCTGGATGGGGATTCTACATGAATTGAAAAAGATAGTTATTATTTCTTGATCAGCTCAGAATGAATTCCCTCTATTATTATTATTAATGTTCCCTTGGGTTCCTAGTGAAAAATAGGGCTTCAACTGCACGTCTCCACTTGTTTCTATCTTCTGCTGTACTTTTCACTTGCATCCATGTTAGTCCATGCTGTTTCAACTCCTCTTCACACGATCTGCTCCATGTCACCCTTGCACCAGTCCCACTCGCCGCTTCCCTTTCAGGTTCCACTCGAGCTATGGCCTGACGCGCGATGTCACCCAACGGCCTCCTCAGTGAGTATCCAGTCCATCTCCACTTTCTTCTGCATATTTGTCGACCTATTGGTTCTTGTTTTGTTTGTTCCCATAGTTTCTTGTTGGTGATTCTTTCCGGCCATCTGATCTTCAGTATAGAGCGAAGACAGATGTTGATAAAGGTATGCAACAGGCTGTTGGAAATATTCTTTGTGACCCACCGCCAAGTTTCTGATCCGTATAGAAGAACTGACTGACTTGACGTTTGTATTGAAAATCCGAATTTTGTTGTTGATGCTGAGGAGTGACGAAGATTTCCAGATTGGTTTCAGGTTGATGAATGTGTTTCTCGCCTTCCCGATTCTCGATTTGATATCCTCGTCCGTTCCTCCTGTAGTTGAGACAATGCTCCCTAGATAAGTGAATGAAGCAACCTCTTTCAAATCCCTTCCGTTGATGGTGATTGGCACTGGATGTTGCTGCTGCTGCTGCTGTTGTTGTTGGTTGGTTATTTTCATAACCTCCGTCTTGTCTGTGTTCACCTGAAGTCCTGTCTTCTCTGGCTGCTTCTTCGACCAGTTTGTCGGTTTTTGCTTGTAAGTCTTCGATTTTGTGTGACATCAAACATAAATCATCTGCAAAATCCAAGTCTTCTATGTTCTTCACGTCGGTCCAGGATATCGCTGTCTTCTCGTTTCCCACTGTCTGACGCATAATCCAGTCCAGCGAGATTGGGCGAATGAATTCCCTCTAATTTTATCTAATCCCAACTTAGTTTCTAAT